GCTGAACCAGCTGCACAGCAGTAGTGCACTAGGCTGGTACCCTGCAAGAGAGACTAGTTATTGTTACAGCAGAGGTCAGCAGTAGTAAGTTGCCCTGGAGGTTGAGCTGGCAACCTAAATCAGGAAGCACCTGTGGGAACTCAGGGAGTCACATGACCAAACAGGAACATGGCTTCCAGCCATATAAACTTAGGGTCTGAGTGAGTGTATTTGGTTTGCCTCTGGGAGCTGATAAGGGAAGAGCTCCAGGGCAGGAGCACTACAGAGGAGCTTCTGGCCAGTTTCTGGACTGTCCTGGGAGAAGAGCAAGTAGAAATGCTGCTCACTTGCAGGGGAGTAGGAAGGGTAGGGGGCAGCTGAGGGATACAGCCAAGGAGCTGAGGTTTGGGCTTTGACCCAGCTGGGGATTTGTGTAACAGCCAGAAAGCTTATTTTGGGTTAAAGTTCTATTCTGGTGGTTTGTGGAATGGACTAAGGGGTGGTTTGGAGGTTGCATTAGTGCCTGAGGGGCACACAACTACCTTGAGACCTGCCAGGGTACAGCTTGGAGCCAGTGGACCCAGAGCATGGAGAAGGGCAGAGCTTGGGGCCAGAGAAGGGCAAAGGTAGGGTTAGAGATCCCAGATAGTGCTAAAGCAGACTCAGTGCCCAGAGCAGGTTGAAGATGGGGTCAAAGGCCCAGAACCAATGTAACTGAGATAAGAGCTGGTGCCTAGAAGCCAGGTCCAGTACAGTGGGCCCAGGCTAGAGAAAAGGGGTAGAGGTTAAGAAAACCAAGGCCCTGAAATGGGAATGATAGTACAGTGACATCTGTGAGGCATGGCTGTAGTGGAGGTACAGAGAACATGATTAGCCCATAAGGTGACGGTGCCTTGGGAGCACATGCAGGCCAGGAGGGCCCACTTAATCGGACAGACTTGTGTGACCAGTGGATTCAATGAGAGGGAGAGGGGATCCACTGATGGGAATTGACTAGGGCTTCTTTAATCTCTTAAGAGCAAGGCATGGCAGATGAGGATTCAAGGGAGGGTATCTTGGAGACTGAGCCAGACAGGAGCCATTCCCCCACCAGGAGACATCACATCCATCCCTGGGGGCCTGGTCCTACATAGTCGCACAGGAAAAAATGTCCATCACATTCCTCACAACTTAATGGAAAGAACAGATACAGTTCTGCTTCTCTAATCTTAATGGAGGAGAACTTTTTTGCAAAAGACAAGAGCAAAAAAGTTTACTTTCTTTTAGTAATGATCAGATATACCAAATTGGCATTTGCCCATTCTTCTTTAAGCGATTAAAATTTCAGTGGACTTCAGTGGAGGGGGGCTAAAAAAAATCTTACCTTTTTGCTAGCTCAAGAGGTTAACCTGCATCTAAAATCAGAATGATCTGAATGGGTGATATCTCCATAATCTGGCAGCACTCTTATCTATTGAGAATGGAATCTGTCCATCTGGAGTACAATCTTTCAATCTGTTAACTGAGTCAAGGGAGCATTTACTTGTTTGCATCTGATGCTTCATTATTGTAGGATACCCTGGAACTATATTGATTATGCTCCTAACATCATCAAGTGGGAAAGGGTGATTGTTGTTGGGTTTTTTTTGCCGGGGGAGGGGTTGTTCTTTGTTTTCATTTTTGTTTTTTTGTAGTTCAGTTCTTTTCTAAATGTCTCGGCCTGAAATTTCAGCACCCTGTTATCCAAAATCTTTAGACGCTCAACTCCTGTTAAAAGTATCCAAAACCCTTAGACATGATTGAAAACCCCCATGCCTACCTCCAGCAAAATAGCTGTTTACAATATGCCCCTCTCGACAAAGGGCAACTAATATAAACATTCTGCTATTGCTAGCCTGCACCCATTAAACCAAAATTAAACAAATGCCTTCATACAGTGGGAGGGAGTTAGGATTGTCCAACTAGCTATGGTTTTACCCATACTGAAACTTACTGTTTCTTGGGCTTCATCAACACTTAGGTGGTGCTAGGATCATGGCGGTGCTTTGAGACAGATCAGCCAAGTACAGCTTTATCTTTTGATTTAAATTATGCCATAAAACTCTTTCTGGACTAGATTAAGCCCTTCTGAATAATGGATGGATTTGTGGTCATCCATTGCTTTGTTCCCATTTGATTTAACTCAATAGCATTAACTAGATCCTGGCTGTCAACAGGGATGGGGAGCAAAAAATAGCTTTTGCTGTAGCTGCAAGATTGCAACTGTAGTAGCAGTGGCAACTGGTAGTTGCTGCTGCTCCTGTGTGTGGCAGCTGTCTTGGACACCCTGCTGTGTTGTTACATGGCTGATTTAACTATTGTCAAGGCTGAAAGCTTTTCTCTAGTCCCCTATGCATCTTTTTGTTTTAATGTAAAGTACCATAATGTATATAGGTAAAAGTAGGCTAAGTGTGTATCTTACTGTAAGCATGACTTGCACATAAGCAAAATATTACAGGGTACTACTAATTAGTTAGGCCTTAGAAACATTTAAAGAATAACTTTTTGAGAATGAGTGAAGCTGCATCCATAATAGAGGTGATGAGCAACTTATCTTTTATGGGTCTTGCACACATGGTATATTTGTTTCAGTCTTCCCCATTGCTACCAACCCCAGATGTTTAAGATCTGAAACCAGGAATTCACACATGCTGATGGCTGGATGTACTAGTTTCTGTCTGCTTAAGAATAGGGAACATCTGTTGCACTGAATTAGGTCACTGGTACAACAGCCTGTCCTTGTTTTTACTGTTCCATGTTGAAAGAAATGCTCAGGAACTGAAAATGTTAGATCATGCTATATGACTGGTTACTAGTGGATCTTGACAAAATGGGTTTGTATCTGCCTATATAGCTCAGAAGATGTAATTTATTTGCAGCCTTAGAATGTGAAAAATTAGCCAGGACATCTATACTTGACATGGTGGGCAGTTTAGTTCCATCCACGTTGTGATATTTACTACTCCAGGGCAATTTAGATGTTTACCTACCTCTTAGTGACCTGGGGTGCACTAACTAGTGCATGTATAAAATGGTGTACTGGCCAGCTGGCTCTTACTCCAGTAGGGATCATTGCTTCCTGGAGGGCATGGACTTACTTTGCATGCTGAGCTCCGCTGCTCCTCTGTCCTGATGCACATTATGGTTACATAACAGAAGCCAGCCAAAAGCAGTGTTTATCACTGACACACCTGAACAATAATCCCTCATGACCTGAATTGCTGAGAAACAGAGGCATTAAGGAGGCGTGTTGCATGTAAAGTAACTATATCTGGATAAAAAAAGAGGGAGCCTCCCCCTTTGTGCACTGCAGGAATTTTTAAAAGTAAGATGCCAGATGATGCAATTCAGTGCATTTAATCACTTTATAACCTTGGTACTGCTCTGCAAACACTGATGATAGCTTGATGCATGGTAAACAGGTGTAGTTAGCTGTACTACTCCCCTGACTGGTGAGCTGGAGCTGTGATAAGATGCCATGACAGAACCCTCCTATGTGATTTTTCTTGTAAGCACCACCCTGTGTCTTTTCGGTATCAGCCTGCTAGCCTGGCACACCCTTATTTGACTGGAAATAGCATTTATGCTGTTTCTGAGACTTTTTTTTTTTTTTATTACCATGTGAAATATTCAGATGGCATTTGTACCAAAAGTTAAGATTTTGACCCTATTTCCTAGAAAATATCTCTGATTCTTGCACTTTGCAGTGGATACTTTCTGGGATCACCTTCACTCAACTGGGGGTGGTACCAATGCTTAAAGTATGACAGTCAAGAAAAGAGGGGATGCTTTCTCCAACTATATCTGGTACCTGTGCTACTGTTCTTCCAGGGGTAGTGCTTCCAAGTGCTCTATAATATGAACAAATGGTGGGACCAGATCCCATATACCCACTCTCTGATAAATGTGGAGAGGGGTCTGGGACAGATGTTCCATAAACCAGTTTGACCTCAATCAGTTAAGTCTGATACTACATAAACCAGTTTCAAAATGGCGATACTGGTTCAAGATAAACCTGGTTGAATGTGCACTGAACACCTGTTCTGTTACAGGTTTAAACCAGTTTCTGTTCACTTAAACCAATTTATGTGCAACTTCTGTCCCTAGCCTCGGTATTGGTGAGGAGTACCAGCAGGAACAAGTAAATGGACGGAAGTGCCTGGGGTGTTCTGGGACTACCTTATGGTGAAGACGGTGAGTGTAGCTGACAGTGCTTTGGGTATGGGAGGTGTCTGAGATGAAGAGGGCAATTGCTACTGTAACAGGAGGGTGGTCAGGGTCACCGTGCTCTCCCCTGCCGCCTCTTTTACCGTGCCAAGTTGCCGACAAGCACCCTCAAATCCTCACCCGGTTGCCGACAAGCACCCTCAACCCCCCCCCCGCCACGACTTTGATGTCATATGTATTTTATAGGGAGGCTGCCTTTCGTCCTCAGTTCTCCCATTATCACTACTTCCTCTCCTGTATTGGGTGTTCTGTACACCCCAGCCTTATGGGCTGTGCGTGGCTCCAACCACCCCTGTACTACGCCCCAAGCCTCGCAGATGTAACTGATGTTGTTCGGTCTCTCTCAGCGTCCTCTCTGGCGCTTGGGCTCTCCACAGCCCTGCCTCTCTCTCTGGGGCTTCTTGCTGCCCCCTCTCTCTCTGGGGCTTCTCAAGTGCCTCCTTTCTGGGGCTGGGGTCAGTGTACCCTGAATGCTGCACCCTCACTGGTGCTGGGGTCCCCACACTGCTGTGAGTCCCCTACGAGGCCTCCTCCATCCCCTCTTAGCCTCACCCAGACCACCGGTAACAAACAGCAAACGAAACACAAGCCCCTGAGCTACAACGCAAACTCCAGCCATCTGGCTATAACATTAATCCAGCTACCCCTAGGGTGCTCCATCCTTTACCAGTCTCACTGCTAATACATTCAGACCTCTGCTCGTGCAGGCAGGACTCCTTCCTCCTTGTCTGCTAGCAGGGAACTGCTTCCTGACCTGCCTGTGATTTATATAGGAGCCAGGCCCTGCCCCTTCTTGTCAGCTGGCTAGACAGGTGTGGGTCATTAGTTCCCTCTAGTTGCTTCAGCAACCGGCACCTGAGGAGTTATCCCGGCTCTCCAAGTAGCAGGCACCTTAGTGCCCTGCTACAGCTACTACCCCCTCCCTGTCTGAAGCTTCCCACTCTGAGAGCTAGTAGAAGGACCTGTCAGTAGGGAGGTAGAAAAATCCCTCAGGGCACTGGCAGAAGTGACATTTGTTGTGCAATCAGACCCTTGAAAGGGCTCTACAGATGTGCCATAACAGAAGTGCACAGCTGCATACCACTTTAAAAGTGGCGAATATGCGACAAATTAACCCTAGTCTATTAAGGGATCAGATGAAGGTGCTCCAAAGCAGAGTGCCTTGGGTAACTCCTGCCAATCCCTGCATGTGATCAGAGCTAGGCTGATGCAGCCTAGTCCTGCCTTTGGTGCTGCCTACGGGAAAGGAGGGGGAGTGAGCTGCAGGCTGGGGTTTGCCTGGACTGAGCTGGAGGTGGGGGAGTGGATTGGAGCTCTTGTGCTTTGCGGACCCCCTTCTTCAGTTCAGGCTGGGCAACCCCCAAGCTCCCCCTCCCTTCCTGCACTGTGAGGAGGGGGAAGGAGGGCTGCATTAGTCCAACAAAAGGTGAATGTCTGTTGAGTTGTGTGGGGTTGTTCTAACTCATGGCACTTTATGCAAAGTGTCATAATTTAAAGCTGGGACCTGCATGTCTGTCAGCACCCTCAGTTGCCTATGTAATGTAAGCCACAGGGGCAACTGGCATTTGTTACGGGGTACTGCAGCAGCTAACCTGCCTGATCTGAGGGGATTGTACTCATACCATGAGAAGGGGCAAGAAAAAGAATGCTGCTTATACATTAACTAAAATTCAGCAGAATGTTGTATAATGGACATAGGGCTGTGGAAAAGGTCAGCAACCAAACCCTACACAATGTGACACTTGCCTGGCTTCTTATCTGATTGCAAACTCGCAATTTCAGTCTAGGTTTGCTGCAAGTTTCAGTAAGATCTCCAAAAGTTTCAAGTAACATTAACTTAGTACAAAGCAGCTTGAATTTCATGTTGAACTGAAGCTCACTTTAAGTTTGCTCAGAATCAAACTTGAGATGTGAACCTCTGCAGCACATAACACCATGTTCAGGCCCTAGACAAAAACCAGGAAACCCAAATCACCAGGCTCAGAGCTTTAGTAATAAACTTTCAGAAGAGTATACAAGGCTTTGAGTTCTACTTCAGTCAGCTTGATGATAGAAGTACTTCTACAATGATCAGCTAATATTGAATGCCTATGTGGTGGGAGACCTTCAGACAGTTTAGAGGACTAATTTGGATGAATAATGCACGCACAGAGAACCTTCTAAACCCTCTGGTTTGCAATATTGGAAGTACAAGTACAGTGTTCTTTTGTGAGATTTTTTGCGTGAACTATGTGCAGTGGGGTTAATAGTTCAATGAGAACTGTCATTCTTGTAGCTTGATGGTTCTAGACTTCTGATGCCAATTGTAATTGAGAAGATGGAGACTTCTGAGAATGCATTGGGAATTAATCCAATTTCTACAGCAGACAGGTTCAGCCACATGTAATTGAAAGGATGAGCTTATCTATAGTTGTTATAGGCTCTGTGTCATCAAACCCCATCTCTACCTAGAGATCAACAAACCCCATATCTACCTAGAATGTTTCCTGTAATGTAATCTGTAGGTAGCATGAGCAAAATTTCAGGGCTTCAAGCCATGAAACTCATGTGGTGACACAAATGCATACTTTTTTGCCACATTCAAATCAGAAAGCCTTAAACTTTTTTCCCTTTATGCTTTGCCACAAAACATTTTTAATTATTAAACAAAGTCCATTCTTAGTACAGCTCTACACCTTGAAAGGATGAATAAAATGCTTCAGTGACCTTTACTCTAAAAAGCCCTCACAAAACTCAAAGATTGTGTGGAATCATCTTCACAAGCAAACTTAGTCAATGAAACAAATCAGTGTCACTGAATATGTCCTTCTCACTATAATGGAAAATGTATCTTGTTGTCAAATAGATGTTTCAAGATCCCAAGAACGTATTACAGTAGTCTGACTTAAGAAATCAACATTCCTAAAACAGCAAAATATTCACTGTTAGGGCCTTTTAATTCATCTTCTATGGTTTCTTAAATCAGTAGCAAAGGTGAAATCTCACTAGGGTTAGAAGTGGAGCTCAACAACAAGTACAACCATTTGCACAAACACAATGAATTATTAAATAGCTCTCTGTTCTCTGTCTTTTCCCTTGGTGACTATGGATATTGTGTTGCCTGAGAGCAGACTTGAGCCAGATTTTGGCATGCCCAGAAACTTGTACAGCCTGTGGGTGAGAGTGCTCTGGGTTTGTTGATTTGAATTCACTGTTTTCCCCAGGATGTCCTAATAGATCTCCTAGCTTCTCCCAGTTGCTAATATTGCTGGCCCCAATTTCCTAGCTAGGGCTGGATAAAACTTTTTCAGAAAATAGTAAAGTCACTGAAAATGCATTGTAGAATGACCAACATTATTACTTGAGTCTAGTTTTGAAAAAGTTAAAACCTTTTTTGAAAATGCAAAATATTTCCTCTGGAAATAACCTTATTGTTTAAAAATTGACCTACTATTTAAAAAAAAAAAAAGTAAAATAAAAGTTTAAATATCCAAATACTAAACAAGACATACAAAAAAACTAGAACTCTTGGTTCCAAAATGATACCTTTTTATTAGACCAACTGGAAAATGGCAAGAAAATTGTCCTTTTCTGCAAGCTTTCAGAATCAAAGTCCCTTTATCAGACTCTGGAAAAAGTGTAGATGGTACAAGATGGTAAAAAGTCCCCATAGTAGGAAATAAACTTCATTTTTGCATAGAGGGAGCTGAAACCCCTCCAAACAAATACTTTATACCCCTCACTTCTCTCTTATTCTTCCCCCATTTTTATCCCTGCTAATTATCCAAGGAATAAAACCATGAAAACAGCTAGAGTCCAGTTTAATTTGGATATAATATTCTTCTTTTGCTCTGCCAGTCTTGCCTTGTTCTATTAAAAATATGTACTTTCTACCTCAGAGGTGGCAGCTTTTCTGTGATGGGTGGGCCTGTGGGCCTAGTTTATTGCACATAAAACCTGATCCTCCACTACCTTCCAACTTGGGTTATGTCTATGTAAAGTGGGTATAAAATGCTACCCACATAAGTGCAACTACATCAGTGGTAACTGACCTGGTTATCATCAGTGGAAGCTAATGGTACTCTATACCCCTGATGATCGGGCTCCAGGTATTTTAAACTGGTCACATACACACAAAAATGGAAGCACTGAAAATCAGTAAATGCTTTTGAAATCTTAGGGCATGGTAATATGTAAAGAGAGAGAGAGTTAGCTTTCTTCATCTGAAGTTAAGCAGAAGGCAGGGTAGTGTTGCACCTTACAGACTGAACATTATGTGCTTGATTCCAAAGGATCCCAAAGCACTTTACAACCTTTAAACTATATATAGGCTACTGTATAAATATGTTTTTGCAATGTGGCAACTAATACATAGTAATGTAGTTTTAAGATGTTAGCAAATCAAAATTAACTACAACCTGCTTTGTCTTTAATAAGATTTTATATTGCATTCATCCCCACATGGTAAGAACATGCTTTGTCTCCTAATGAAGATGAGTCCAAAGATATTAGTACACAAATGGATGGGTTTGTTCTGCATCATTTTTTTACAACATTTAGGGCTGTGCTTTGCAATTCCACTATGTGAGATGTGCTGTTATGCTTTGGACAATGGGAATACTGAGCAGGATTAGAGAGTTTGTTCCTTAGTGTAAATTTTATTCTTTATGATAATTTAATTCAAAGATTATTTCCTAGAAAAAGCTTAATGCTAAACTGATTGATTTTTCTTTTAACAGTGCCTTACATGGACTCCCAGCTCACAGCACTTAAGCCTTTCACCTCATGAATTTGTTGGGTGTAGAGGGATAAGGTGGAGCGTACTTTCAATCAAAGATTAGCTGCCTGAATCAGAGACGTGAACAGCTTGCATTCTCTGCTTTTGATTTCTACATAGCCTGTTTGTTTTACTTGAGGCTAATTTGCTACGCCCCTGTTACCATGGAATTGCTAGGCAGCTATGCCACACCTTTCTGAAACCACCTAAT